CGGAGTGCCGGGAGCATCTCTTCAAGGTGCTGGTGATTGGGGAGCTGGGCGTGGGTAAAACCAGCATTATCAAGCGGTACGTGCACCAACTTTTCTCCCAGCACTACCGGGCCACTATCGGGGTGGATTTCGCGCTCAAAGTCATCAACTGGGACAGCAAGACCCTGGTGCGGCTGCAGCTCTGGGATATAGCGGGTAAGGGCCGGGCGCGGGTGTCTCTGCAGGGCGAGCTCTGAGGGGCCAGAGGCCTGTGAACCCGGCTGTCTGGGGTCCGGCCTTGGCGGAGGAAAGTGTGTTTTGGCTATGAAGTCTGTCGCCTTGTTTGTCTCCTTCCCCACTTGTCTGTGTTTGAGGCTTAAGTAGATGGAAGTCTCAGTGTGGGAGTGAAGTTTTTGACTTTATGTAGGCTGTGTGTGCTCCTGATGGCTGGTGTTGTGGGGCTCTTGGCAGAGCCCAGGGTTTTACAGCAGTCCTCAAAAAGCTGCTTTGCTCTGCCTGCTGGCTCCAGGGCTCCTGGAGGGTTCCTGCTTGTACTACTCCTCCTGATCCCCTTGCCCCGGGGACTTTGTGGCCTTGGTTATGACTACTACTTAAATTCATTTGTAGTTATGGCTCCATAACACTTTCTAGAGGACTAAAATATTTTTTCCGAGTAGATTATGTTTAGTAAGCACACCTTACAGGTTAAATGTAACTCAAATAGCTAAAATTGTCCTCAAAGGCAGTATGGTCAAACTTTGCATGTTTGGAGTCACCTACTTAATTGAAAAGTAACTTGTCTCCCTGCAACGTGGAGTGAGGGAATGGGACTTTTGTTATGCTTAGTTCTACATTCAAATCATGGGTTTGTGTATCAAAGGTACTTTGAGCACACAGAAGAAGAAAAGCCCTGTTCAGTTGTCTAAACTACACGTCATTCTTTTCCTATGTATCAAGCAGATCTGTTCTTTAACACCTCTCTTCCAAAGACTCCAGCTGTATACCTATCATGGTTAACTTTGCTTATACTGCAGTGTTAAATGCTAGAGAAGAAAATCTGTTTTGCTGTGGTCTTGTAAGAAGTCTGTCCCGTCAACTCCTTAATCATCTCAAGTTGGTATTGCATTTCTAGTTCTGTCTGCAGCCCAGGTATTAACCTGCTGCTCTCTTCATCCCTTTCTACCACATTAAGAATATCTCCTTGGATAGGAAAAAGTGGACTTTAATTCACATGCTGGTGTTTAAACTTGTGTATCCTACTGGAAGACACTGGGATAACAACTGGTAGTTACTGTTTTCGTGGACTTTATGCTTTACCAAGTGGAAGCTCAGAAAAGAGGAAGTATAACATGTGGCTGCTGTAACCCTGTGACAGACCAGCTGTACACCAGCTACTGGCCTTTCTGCTCTAAAGGTTATCTTAAAACATTTCAAATACGATTCCTCCAACTAAAAAGCCTGCTTCTTACTGCCATATGCTGAAATGCACCATAGATCTTTGTGCTACTGGCCTGTAGGGCAAACCAAAATATTTTTTAATTGCTGTTTTGGAGAGCAAGTAACATGTTGGCAAGCTTTCTCTTCTGATGTGTTCCTTTTATGGATCAGTTTTAACTTTCTCTAAATCAATTAGCAGTATTGGTACAAGCTGCTACAGTGCTCTGGATATATTTTAGTAAGTCTGGGGTTCCAGAGATTGACGAGGGGGAGACTATCAGGATCCTGGGGTTTGGCAGGCTGCCACGCTTGTTTAACTTCTCCTCAGCCCTTGCTTTCTGATGGCTGGGGTAGGCTGTGTGCTTTGCCAAAGCAATCTGTTTCAACAGGCTAGGCAGAAATGTAGCTGTAACTTGTACCAAAGTTTGGACAGAACCTATTTACATTATGGTAAGTCCTATCAATAACCCATGTGTTAACTTCAAGATCTAGAAGATGGTATTTTTCACTCTTGAATATTGCACTTAGTGTGTTTTGGACACTGCTAGGTGAAGACAGAGTGAAGAGCTGCTAATAAATCCCTGGATACTTGTGCTAATATTGTTGATAGACTGAGGAATTAAAATTTTTCCTGTCGCTGAAATATTTTTCCTATTTTACAATGTGGTGTACTTTTGTATGAAACTACTGACTAGCCTTTCCCTAGCAAAAATGAAAAAGGAAAATACAACTGGTTTGCAATTTGCACTCCAAGCTCTTACGTGTAATCTGGTAGTTTAGGCTATTCTGTTTCCAAGGGGCTAGGAGTCTTTCCCCAAGAAGAGAAGTAATCTTAGTCTTAGTGATTTTTTCGATTGGGCTGTGCTTAGCCAGTGTGAGAGTAACAGTTCAGACTCCTGTAGAACTTAACATCTCAGTTAAGCATTAATCATTAAAATAAAGAGGCTTTTAGTATCCATAAGGGTTGTTTCATGGTCTTAAAACTGCTGAAGTCCTTGACCTGGGAATGTGTTCTGCAGCTGTCTACATCTATATTGATGAATATTTCTAAGTACCTGAGGATGTTAACAGGTTTATATAGAAGTTATTAGTTAGACAACCAGGTTGAAGATGCCTCTATACAGTCATAGCGCGTATTCCCTAAAGCGCTTTATTGAAGTGTGTAACAAAGTATCTGAGCATGTGATAGTCATTCCTTTTTAACTCATCAGCCCAACTGTCTTTTGGCTTTCAACAGCTCATGTAGATAACTTTGTCTGCTGGTGTGTGCAGACAAACAGCCTTAGATGTCTTGAAAGGATCTAAATCTTATGGTTAGTAATGTTACATGTGACTTCCCTGCGAGCAATATGGTGTTGGCATTCTGAATTGATTTTGATGCATTTAAAAAGGTTTCTGAATTAAAGTCTAACCCTTAAGCATAGTAAGGCATGTTATTTTTCACTAGATCAAAGGTTGTACTTTACAGTTCGCCATAAAAAGCTTTCCTCGAAGAGCTGGGTGCTGCAATCTAACATTCTGTACCTAAATCAATGATAAGAACTAACCACGTAGTTCAGTAATCAACTAAATATAATGCAAATACTGTACTGCCTTCTGGTGTGATTGCAGCCAAAATGATGAATGTTGTGCTGTGTATTGCAATGCAGCAGGTTCCTGAGTGACTTCAACTTCTTGTGCTAGTTGAGGGTTTTTAGCGATTAGATAATTCTATCAAAGAGCATCACAATGTTACACTGCCTATCTTTTTTTTTTTTTCTAGTGAAAATAGCCTTTGTGTTGTAAGGTACAAAGTAATGCAAGTTCCTGCAGCAGAATCAAAGGGGAAGGGAGAAGAATGGTACAGTTGTGCCTAGACTTGTGTATTCCAGAAATACTCAAGCATTTTAGTTTTTAGACATAGGCTGTAGCTTCTTGAATAATGGAGATGAAAAAGCTTGGGAGTAAGATTGATCAGTCACTGTTAAATTATCTCAGTTACAGCATAAAGTATTTTGAAAGAAGCTGAATAGATTATGTGCATGTTCATACAGGAGTAAAACTTCTAAACATTAGCTGCCCTTGGGCATTGCTCTTGTTTTTTATCTTGACATGTGGAGTTAAGATAAATCTCTCTTCCTGGATAAATTCTGAAAGTGTTAGGTTAATCCCCTTGATTAAAGGACATAAATAGTTGGTGAAATAAATAGGAGATAGGAATGAGTCATTGTGGTGAAGAGATTCATTAAGATTCCTTTGTTTTGTTAGGGAAGTGCTTTAAAGTTTATTTCAATACACTAGAGATTCCTACTTGACAAGCATGCTGTTTTAGTGAGTATACTGCATTGATCACAAGGTAGTGTAGGAGGTGACTATAGCAAATTGATGAAAATCAAATATCACTGAAAGAACACTTTAAGGACTTTCTGCATTATAAAAACTTTTGATCTGCCCTAATAAGACAAGCAACTAAGTAGTGTTGGCTGCTGCTTTATGATCACATTGACTATCACTGTTACTAACATCAGCCTGTACGAACATGCAACTCTCCGGAGGGCAGGGGTGGTAAAAGTTACAGATGAACACTTGAGCTTGGCTTCTCCTGAAGAATGTCACTAATGACAACTGGTAGACAAACTTGTTTTTAAAGCTTTGACTGAGCAATTCTACATTAACTTTGGTGTAATAGCACCCTTGTTCCAGGACTTTATTAGAATTTCTTTGTAAAAATGTTTATTAAAACTGAAGTACTGCTTTAACTGGAAGAGAGTGGCTATGAAATTGGCCAAGTAGAAGAGGAATGATTGTACTTTAGTATTCTAAATGTGCTCTACGCAAGTGAGCATGGAGTTGAGGCAAGACAATCCAGGCATAGCCTGCCCCAACTGTGTTTTTTTCCTTACTCTTACAAAGATACCTAACAAGTACAATGACGAAGGAAGAGTGAAATATGTGCACGTAAATAACTGCATCAGAAATGGATGCAAAACTTGGAGCTCAGAGGTTTTTCAGGAACTGGTAAGTGATGTGAGGTTATTTGCTAGTTTATATGGTGATGGAGGTTGCAGCAGCAGCTGCCTTCATGTGGAGATGGGAGCACTATTGTTCTGGTAAGAGCTGAGGCAGGTCAGAAAACTACCAGTCAGGATTGGAGAACATTTTATGTGATTACATCCAGACTGATGAAAAAGATTTGAAAGACCTGTGACCGATTTCTGAATGCTTCCTGGTTGCACACATTTAAGCATAAATCTCATATGAGAAAAATTACTTAAGGATGATGTTGGAAACATGCAAGACTAGCAGATAAAGGTTGAGGAGGGGAAAGTAGAAGACCTGCTCGTGTTGAAAGGTTTAGAACACTGTCTTAGAAGCAGTAGAGGTAAGAAGCATAACAGAAGGTGTATTACAGGTTTCCTTCTAGAAACCACTGCTCTGTGGGAAATCTTGTGTGGGTGTGCTTTCTTGTGACTCTTCTGGAACAGCTGAATTAGAGTTAATATCTTTCAGTTGAGAATGACTTTCTGTACTTGGAGTTCTGCAGCTAGACATCCAAATAAGTTCTGAACGTGTTAAACTTGTTTTTTCGGTTTGTGTCTCCAGCCTTCAGGTATCTCTGAATACAGACTCTGGATGTCAATATGCTTTCTTTTTGAACTCTGCTATTTAAGTAATTTTTTATGAAATGCTATCAAGCAAGGTATGGTTATTAGTCTTGCTGATGGAGCAATTTCCTTCTCTTATCAGTGGGGTATGGAATCATTAATACTGGTGTACATTAGCACTATATAATGTATCAA